AACTCCTTCCTGGCTGAATCCAGCAGAGTCAGCTATGGCAGCACTCTTGCAGAGGGATTCCTGCATCCTGAGTGCATTCCCGGGCCCTGGAACGCGTGACTGAGTGTGAAATGTGTATTTAGGCGGTGGATGTAACCAAATCTCATTGATTGTTGGTGTGTTTGGGTTTTTTTCAGGAAGAGCATAAAGAAGTTGGTTTTGAAGAACCTCAACTGTAGCAATCTGTTCTCACCGGACAGTCGGGATAACGAAGACCTGGCTTCTCCGTCGGAGTATCCAGAGAATGGAGATCGGTACGTTGCGTCACCGGGAAGGCATTTGTACTTGGGAGGGATGCAGGCTGGTTGTGCCTCTCCGAGTTGTCATTAATAGGAGAGGTAGTCATCGTCAGGGACGTCACTGTGGCTGTTTGTTGGGAGCGGGTTGGCCTGTTGAGGTTCCTTCCCTCCTAAACGAGCCGTGTGTTCTTCCTGCGTGGTCACGCACCGCTTCGTTCCATCCAAAACTGGAGCTCAGAGAGAAATGAGCTACTCTCTGGTGATGCCTCTTCACTCCCTGCAGCAAGGAACTGGGCCGTTTCTTGAGGGAAGCGATAAACCCTGCGCTGAGGTGGGAAGAGCCTCCCCTGCTTCGTCCTCAGTAGCGTGAGAATTGCAAGGGATCAGCAGAGCTTCCAGTGTCTCACCACAGTGCTGTATGGCCTACAAGGATGCTGGGGGGGACTTTTGACAAGGGCCTGTAGTGACAGGACAAGGGGGAACGGGGTTAAATTGGGAGCGGGGAGGTTTAGATTAGATATCAGGAAGAAGGTCTTCACGGAGAGGGTGGTGAGGCACTGGAACAGGTTGCCCAGAGAAGCTGTGGATGCCCCATCCCTGGAAGTGTCCAAGGCCAGGCTGGATGAGGCTTGGAGCAACCTGTTCTAGTGGAAGGTGTCCCTGCCCAGGGCAGGGGGGTTGGAACTAGATGATCTTTAAGGTCCTTTCCAACCCAAACCATTCTGTGATTCTATGGGATGAGGAATCTGGCACCCGCTCCCCCCTGCCCAAAGGCCTGAATACCCACTTCCTCTACAAATCTGTGGCCATGTTTCAGGCAAACTCTTATTATTTTAGTCAGAGGCTGGAAAAATTCCTGAGCAGCTCAACATTTGGGTGTTATTTAAAGCTACTGGAACTGATTGTGGGAGTGGGGAGCTTTGTTTCCGATCCCCGTAGTCGTGACCTAGGCAGTTCCTAGCGGGGCGGAGGCGCCCGTTAGCCAGGTACGACAGGCAGTGCTCTGCAGCTGGTTTTTGGGTGTGACAGTCACAATACTGCTCCCAAGTTGGATCTGATCGCAGTGCCTGGCAGACAAAATCATCCTCTTCTTGTAACACTGCATGTATTTTGGGCACAAAAGTAGTAGCAGCCTGGTTCACAAATCATTGAGTCTTTTTGATGGGAAGGGACCTTGGGATGTGGAGCACTGGGACAGGTTCCCAGGGAAGCTGTGGATGCCCCATCCCTGGGAGTGTACAAGGCCAGGCTGGATGAGGCTTGGAGCAACCTGGTCTAGTGGAAGGTGTCCCTGCTCATGGCAGGGGGTTGGAACTGGATGGTCTTTAAGGTCCCTTCCAACCCAAACCATTCTATGACTGTGATTCTATGAATTTCCCCAGCAGTCCCAAGGCTGAATTCAGCCGTGGTTGTTGAGGACTTTGTCCACCTGGGGGGTCTCAAACCTCCGAGGATAGAGATTCTGCCACCTCTCAGGGTCCCTGTTCCACCGCTTGACTCCCCTCACCCACTCCCTGCTTTAATTAGACCGTTGTTTCTCATCCTTCTCCCACACGTGTCAGCGGAGAATCCCAGTTTGTCTCGGGGTTGGAAGGCTGCTGTTACACGCTGCTGCCAGGCTTTTCTCCAGGCTGAGCAACTTGTTTCATAGAATCACAGAACAGTTTCGGGGTGGGGGGGCGGGATCTTAAAGCCCACCCAGCCCCACCCCCTGCCACAGGCAGGGACCCCTTCTATAGCCCAGGGTGCTCCAAGCCTCATCCAGTCTGGCCTTGGACACTCCCAGGGATAGGGCATCCCCAGCTGCTCTGGGCAGCCCGTGCCAGGGATTTGGCTCAAGCTCTCCTCTCAGGGCATGTTCCCCAGCCGTCGTGGTAGCCCACTCGCAGTGTCTTTGTTGCGGTGGGGGCCCCAGGTTAGAAGAGAATGGCAGAGGCGGCCTAACGAGGGCAGAGTGAAGGGGGAGGATGGCTTCCCTCCATCTGCTGGCTCTGCAGTCTGCATTTGCTTTGTGCACCAAAAGCCACCAGGATTTTCATGTTGACGTTAGTCCCTTAGAACGTGAATAATTCAACTTTCTTCCTCATCTCTCCAGGTTCTTCCTGTCGGTACCTCCTGATGAAAACCACAGGCAAGACGGGGAGCGCGAGGAGGAGGAGGATCATCCTGAAGTGACTCGGTTTTACACCAACCCCATCGCCAAGCCCATCCCGCAGACCCCGGAGAACACCGTGCAGAAACACCAGAACAGCGTGGACGACACCATTGTGGCTCTGAACATGCGGGCGGCCTTGCGGAACGGTCTGGAAGGCAGCAGTGAGGACGCCTCGTTTCATGACGATTCCCTGCAGGATGAGCGTGAGGAGGAGCCTGAAGTCGTGCATCATCTGCATCCATCAGGTTAGGAGCGGGGGGGATAGATGTGCTTCTGGCGGCGTTCCGTCCTCGCTTCATTAAAGCGCTCTCGGCCGCTGCAGACCCTCTGCTTTCTCTCCTCCTATCCCTCTTCCCGACACAAACCTTGCCTTTCAGAGGTTTCTCGTCTGCTGAGTCAACGAGCAGATAAATTTCATCCCCCAGATTTATGTTGCATCGAGGTAGCGCTGCGGGGGGGAAAGGCCCAACCTGTCATCGTCCTGCAGCAGCAGCTGGGGCTGATGGTTGTGCAGGAACAGGATCTTAGAGTCACAAATCTAACGCTTGGCACCCTGGGCATGCGGGTGGCGTGGTAGGGCACGGGGGGGAAGGAACGGACCGTGGCCGCGTCTCTGCAGACCGGTCGTGCACATGTTTCGGTAGCCCTCGTTCCATCTCGGGGTTTACCGCAGCTGGAAAACGCGTGGAAGACGATATGGGAGATCTTCATGGAATCACAGAGAGGTTTGGGTGGGAAGGGGCCTCAGAGCCCCCCTAGCCCCACCTTTCGGTAGCCCTCGTTCCATCTCGGGGTTTACCGCAGCTGGAAAACGCGTGGAAGACGATATGGGAGATCTTCATGGAATCACAGAGAGGTTTGGGTGGGAAGGGGCCTCAGAGTCCCCCTAGCCCCACCCCCTGCCACGGGCAGGGACACCTTCCATGGCCCAGGTTGCTCCAGCCTGGTCTTGGGCACTCCCAGGGATGGGGCATCCATGTTTTCCCGGGGTACCTTGAGTAACTTTCCCTTAACTGACACTGTCGCTGGTGAAGAGGTGGGGGCACGTGGTTGTTGTTTATAACCCCCGAGTGAGCTGGAGAAGGTGCAGAGGAAATTAGGTCATTCTTTGGGGCAATATGTGGCATCTAATGAAACCAGCAGGTGACGTTGCCTTCGGGAGCCCCGATGGCAGGAGGTTGTGGGTGCTGAAGGTCACTGGAGCGGTAGCTGAGGAAGCGCTGGAGGCTGTTAAATGTCAGAGATGCTGCAGCTCGGGCAGCCTGAGCTCCCGAATTACTGCAGCTGGGAGCGCGCTGCTGGATGTGTTGGCGTTTCTCTTGCTACCTGCACAACTCCTGCTGATCTCTGCTGGGCTGCGCCGACCCGGCGTAGCAATGAGGTTTGCTGTGATGGTGTGGAAATAGGGCGTTTGGCTTCTGCTGCGCTCGTTCTCGGGTTTGGGACCCTCAGTTGTCCAGGCTTGCCAAAGGAACAGGGTGAAACTCCTGAAGTGCCGAGGTTGGGACCTTGCTGACAGCCTGGTTCTCCATGGTTTTGCGTTGCAGGGATCGTCCTGACGAGGGCTGGCTATTACACCATCCCGTCCATGGAGGAGCTGGCTCGCATCACCAATGACAGGAACGAATGCGTGGTCACAGACTTCACCATAGGCCGCAAAGGTGAGCGCTCCCGGCTGTTGTAGAGGTTTTAAGGGTGTGGAATCCGAGCTCCGTGCCCTCGGCAGGATAACCAATGGCGCCCTTGCCTTGCGGGCGGCGCGGGCTGAAGGTGTGTAACCCTCCGGGTGGGAGCTCCGACCTGTGGGGTGGGGTAACTCAAAGCTCGAATGGTGCTTCAGCGTAAAGACTAAAACCCAGACGTGCTGGGGCCTTGGCGCGAAGCCGGTCGGCGTGGCTTGGGTCTGGGCTGCTGCCTGCTCCGGAGCTGGCCGAGCTCTGGGATAGAGCCTTCAGTCCAAAGTGTGCTTTTTGCTGCTCTTATTTAAAGAGAAAGAGTTAAGATCTTTTAAAATGGTTTAATGTTTTTTAAACACTCCCTCAAAATGCGCCGGGTACGCTTTTGGGTTGGTAGTGTGAACAGCCAAGGGATTAAAAAAACAAAACTTCCTGGGGAAAATAGCTGGCTGTGGGAAAGCTGGTAGCATCTTCGGTGTGGTCACCCTGGGAAGGAGTTGCTCGTACGTGGTCACCCTGGGAAGGACTCGCTTGTACATTGTCCTGGTGACCTACAAATCTGGGGAGAGGACGGGGGTAGCAGGACCATAGCGTCCCTGGCGTGCGATCGTGTCTTTTCCTGGCCGAATTGTGACGTGGCGGTTTGTTTTTGCAGGTTATGGATCGATTTACTTTGAAGGAGAAGTAAATCTCACGAACTTGAATCTGGATGACGTCGTACACATCCGCCGGAAAGAAGTGATTGTTTACCCTGACGATGAAAGAAAGCCGCCCGTCGGGGAAGGGTTGAACAGGTAACTTTGGGGCGCGCTGGCTGGGGACAGCAGCTGTAAGGATGGGTTTCTGGTGCTGGCAATCTGCTGTTGGCAGGCAGCTGCCAAGAAGTCTAAGCCGGAGGCGTGCGCGCGTGTCGCAGCATCCTACAGTTCCTCAAGACGGCGAATTTCTGCCCAGAAATGGGGTCGGAGGCCGGTGTGAGCCCACGCGCTCAGATCCCAGCTCCTGTCCGCGCCCTGTAAC